ACTCATTATGTGTTCCTAAATGCTTTGTTCTGGCCTTCCCTCTGTTTCAGGAGGGCTCAGGACACCAAAGTTGAGTCTAGAGTCATAGGCTGGAATTCAGAGCTCTCAATCCAGCTCCTCGACATGTCATGAGGATCAATTTGCCAGGACTCACTCTCGACCCCTTAACAAAGAAAGTTGCTCCTGTCCTCCTCATTGCTGAGAACAATGAGAAAGTATGACGTGAATGTCCTGGAAGTTTAAAGCTAAGAGAGTTTATTTATTTTTTTATTATTTATTATTTTTTTTTAAAGAGAGAGTGAGAGAGGAGAGAGAGAGAGAGAGAATTTTTAATATTTATTTTTTAGTTCTTGGCAGACACAACATCTTTGTTGGTATGTGGTGCTGAGGATCGAACCCGGGCCGCACGCATGCCAGGCGAGCTCGATACCGCTTGAGCCACATCCCCAGCCCCAACTAAGAGAGTTTAAGGCTAAGTTTAAGGCTAAATTAAAAAATACTTAAAAGTCTTTAACGATCAGAGTTACGCAAGTTACTCACATGAAGTGGGGAGTCATGTTATGAGTGATCCACAATGGCAAATCCACTTTTCTTCACAAGTTTGCTGGCTGTGGACAGCAGATCTCTCTGAATTCCCTTTAGGCTCACATTTCTACAACTCTGTATCCCGTGAGCATTTGCCAGCTGGGGGCAAGAAGGTCCAGCATTACAAATGTGACAAGAATAATATCCAAACTTGTTGATGATACTCTGTAATTGTGACAGGGCATGGAGTCAAGATGAAATGTGGTATGACTTCTAGAGAACCTATCTTTGCATGGTATAGTTTTAAATGGGGGGAAATCTTTCCATCCTTCCCGTCTCAGGACTGCTGGTGTTATTGAAAATGTATGGCCATTGACATTCAAAACAGTTTTCTGCTATTAGTGGAGTAGTATGCCATGCTTTTGCAATCTATAAGAGACAAAAAGTTCCAGTGTTGCATATTTTCAAATTGTTAAAGACTGATCTGTTTATGAAATACATAGTACTGTTTTAAGAATGCTAGAGTCTGGTTCATGAGACATCCACCTTGTTGGAGGAACTGATCTTCTCAGGTTTTAATCACTGCTGAGCTATTTTGAGATGGAAGATTAAATTCCATGTCCCTTTTATGTGTCTTTGGGCCTGTGACAGAGGACATACCTGGGAGGAGGGACCCAGTACATTTTTGTTTGGCTTCACTCACTTCTGCTCTTCTTCTTTCTGGCCTCTAGATTACCAAGTTGAAGCAACAACTGCAGAGGACAAAGCTGAGCCGCAGTGGGAAGGAAAAAGAGCGGAGCTCCCCGCTCCAAGGGGACCATGCTGTGCGGGGAGCACTGAGGGTATGTGTTTCCTCCCCAGACACAGTCCCCTCTGTTTCCCTCCAGAGTGGACTCTCCTGGTGGGCAGAGTTCTCTTGGATCTTACGGCCCACCACATTGCATGCTTTGTGCCCACATGGGGGACAGGTGAAGTTTTAGTCCAAACTTGGATTTATCTGAGTGACACTGGAAAGGCTTCTTGCTGTTCTCTACCCCATCCCTGAGCAGTTGAAGCAATGACTCTAAAATCACACTCTAGACCTCAAAGTCCCAACTCCCAGAGCAAACATCACCAAATGGGCCAATAACAATCTGTAACTGACACCAAATTGTCCTTTATTCATTGGGTCCTGCTGTGTGGACACCATTACCCTCTGGTCAGAACTGATAGATGGATAGGTCTCGGTGGAGCTCCACCTAATTGTTTCATTTGTCACCGCCTAAGGCGTCGCCTCCCAGCTTCCCCTCAGGGTCTCCTGTCCTGCGACTCAGCCCCTGCCTGCACAGGAGCCTGGAAGGGCTCAACCAAGAGCTGGAGGAGGTGTTTGTGAAGGAGCAGGGCGAAGAGGAACTGCTGAGAGTAAGTGGCAGCTGCTCCTTATATGCACCAACAGGTGGACAGGTGGTGTCAGGGGAGATGGGCGTGCCCCGTCTAGGCCTCTCAGGCTCTAGCTGTGTAAACAAGAATGGACAAACACCTGCCTGCCAGAGCAACACCGGGAGCTCATTAGTCTCAAGTGGACTTAAACACAAGGTGGCAGAGGGGGTGGCTGTACCTGGGGAAGGCTTTGTGAAGGTGAATAGAGGAAAGGAGCAAGGATTGGTAGAGGAGAGGGTCCCCAGCAGGAAGCAGCAGGCAGAGCATCATTCTTCAGCCACATTGCCAGCTCACTATTCCTTGAATCTTTGGCAACTTTACCCACTTGTACCTCAGTTCATGCCACTGCCCTGTCGCCACTTTCCTCCTTCCAGCTTAACCTGGTAACACGCATCCATCCTCGTGCCCAGTTGCCCCTGTGCAGCTTTCTCCCTGCTCCACTCCCAGGCAGAATTCTGTGCTACCTTTTCTGCAGTCTCAGGCACATTTTTATACTGACACAGTACAATTGGGGAATGCCAGTTGGACAGTATTAATATAATTCTAATGGGCACACTCCTCGGTTTATGATTTACCTCCTGGTTTATTTTTAATTTGGATATATGCAGGATTGCATATACACCAAAACACATGTGTACAATTTAGTGAGCTGTGGGTACAAGTACTGTTGATGTTTAATAAGGAGGGAGCAAATAGGTATTTATACATGATAATCGTCTGCATACTCACCCTGCGATGGCTTACAGCACATCTTGGTGCCCTGTCTCTTGTGAAGGAGCAGGGTGAAGAGGAACTGCTGAGGGTGAATGACACACTCATAGACCACTAAATGTCAGTGCTATATGTGTCCCCCTGCATGTAGCACTCACCATTGTGTTCCCGGAGCCCTGCCCATGAAGGTCCTTACCCTCATAAGGCTTATACACTAGTGGGGGGACACATTGATCCACTGCACAAATGAATATGTGATGATACACTGGACTGCCAGTGCTAGGAGGGAAAAGAACAAAGTGCCATGGGAGGAGAAATGGGGTTTCTTTAGACTGAGGGGAAATGGAGTTGAGGTCAGGGAAATCAAGATCTCGAGCCCATGGTGTTCAATTGTGTGCGTGTTCTGAATAGAGGCTGAAAGGAAGGATGCGGGGAGTACCCTTGGGGTCATTGCAGTGCTGTAGGCCTGAGAAGACCCTACATTGAGAGTCTCGCCTTCTTTCTCTGTCAGATCCTTGAAGTCCCTGATGGACACCGTGCTCCTGCTCCTCCCCAGAATGGCAGCTGTGATCACTCCCTCCTACTGCTGGAGCCAGGCAACCTTGCCAGCTCTCCTTCCGTGCCCCTGGCATCCCCCCAGCCTTCTGGCAGGGCCAGCCATGAGGAGCACCGGGGTGCCATTGAGCTGGCATCTGTCCCCAGTGACAAAGGTAAGCCACGGAGCCCAGGCAGCAGGACTGACATTGGACTGCGAGAAGGGTATCTCTCCCTTTTCCCACCCAGCAGTTTTAGGCCCAGCACGATTTGTGAGCCAAACGTTAGTCTTTCATTCTGTACACCATACCAACAATAATGTCCCTTTCATGACATTCTGATTTGTAATTTATAAATTCTATACCTATACTTTACTGAATCTTCAGTGGAGTCCAGAAGAGCAATCCTTCCTGTCCCTACTTTTGACTGAGGGTTAGAGTGCTATAGTAGGAGGCCAGCACATCTCCGTTCTGGTGTCCACACTACTTGTTACCAGCATAAGCCTTCAGGGTGACTGGAAATGACAAAAAATAAGAGAATGTGGTCCAGGGCCCAGTTTGACCAGACTGATATGTGAACTTTCTGATTCCAAAGCCTGACTTTCTCCTGTGCCCTGACTTCTCATGGGGAAGAAGAGATAGGATTCCTGCCTCCTACCAATGATCCATATGTTATAGAGCACTGTGCCTGCATCCCCTGATTTGATTCTCCCAGCCACTTCATGAGGCAGGCTGGTCAAGGGCACATGATGTAGGCTGGATTTCTCAGGGACAGAATGATCTAACAATATACATAGGTAAATAGAGCCAGGAGTAACAAGGAATAAATGAGGTAAATGCAGATAAAGTGAATATTTGTAACCTAGGCAAAGTACAGTCTCTAGGTAGAAAATAAGAAGAATTTTATCCTCTGATAAAATTTTATCCTGTGTAAAGTTGGTTCCTCAAAGTTAGTACAAGAGTGCTCCCTGCAAGGAGGGATGTATGTTCCAGACTGCAGCAAGAAGTCCTGACATGCTGGCAGGTAGGGACAGTCAGGGGCATCACAGTCTCAGGAGAAGGCAAAGAGGGATGCCATATAGGATTCCTTTAAGTCTGAGGTCTAGAGGTCCAGACTTCTTCTACCTCCCAAGAGTGCAGTATTATAAGACATTCTTTTCCCATCAACTCCACTGTTCTTGTATTCTGTCATATGTTATATATGTTTTAAGCTACCTCAAAGGCTTTTTAAGGTGAATATGAAACAGAGCAGCCTGGTTAGCATAACCACTACCACCTACTTTATCACATACCTCCCAGCCTCACCCCTTTACACCCAAGGTCTGAGCTGAGGAATGCAGAGGCCTTCTGGGACTCAGCCTTACTTTGTTTGCAGCCTATTCTCCAGGTCACCCAGCCTTCCTTGAAGATGGCAGCCCATCTCCAGTCCTTGCCTTTGCCGCCTCCCCTCGGCCCAATCACAGCTATGTCTTCAAACGGGAGCCCCCAGAAGGCTGTGAGAGAGTGCGCGTGTTTGAAGAGGCCACGTGAGTACATCAAGTGGACAGGGTGTGGGAGGGAGGGACAAAGATGGAGGTCAAGCCCTGTGTTATCCCACCTGCCAGGCTCTTTTCACTCTTGCACTCTGTCTTGTCTAGAGGTGTTGGCAACATCAGATTTTCAGTATTGCAGTTTTCTCATGATCAAACTTGTTGACATTACCTACTCTGAGCACTTAAATCTTTGCTTATCATTATCTCCATAGAAACCTGTTCTCTGCCCACATGCCAGCCATAAGCACAGCAGGAGCTGAAAAGGAAAGATATCAGAAACTTCAGCCCTTTGTTTCTTCCATTTTTATTTTTTTATCCCTAGGGAAAGTGTGAGAATTTGCTAAACCATGATCAGAGAGAGGGAGAGAGAGAACATACTAATAGTTCTTTACCCTGTGGCTGTAATGGATCAAGTATCATGAACTTGCAGACAGAAAGTTCCAGACCTTGCAAGTAAGGACTGTGGAATATTCCCAAACCAGACTGGATAGTTCAGAGGCCATTCTTTTGGGACTTCTTTACAGTTCCTCCTGTTAGCAGAAGATTAAGAGGTCACTTTCCAAAGGTACACACAGAACCCCTTAGCAGGCCCCATAGAGGGCCTCTGGTTTCTCCTGCAGCTTCATATCCATCAGGGCAGATTCACATTGGAAGTCGTGGTTTCAGTGGCAGTCAGGGAGTTCAGTCATGGTGTGTGAGTGAAGCTTTAGCTAGGACTGGGTTCTGGGCATTGAGGGCACCATTTGTATCTCAAACAATAGAGAAGACAACCCATGAGGGTAGGAGATTGTTCCTGCTATTGCTGTTGCCTGGTGTCCTTTAAGAACAAGGTGTTGTGGAAGCAAAAGGCCAGCACTTACAGCTTAAGCAGATCTCAGGCTCTTGTGTCCTCCCTCACTCCATGTTATAGGTTAATAGTCACATCCTGGAAATCCTGGTAGAAATTAGGCTATTGCATGTCCTGATTCTTTCACAGACTTATAATGCTGGAAGTAGTCTTCAAGTCATCTCATCTAGCTTTCTGCCTCTGCATTACCCCTGTAAGAGAGTGTGACTGATCTGTTGTTTTCTAAGACATCCTGGGTCTGAAATTCTGTAGCTCATGAGGTCTCTTCATTTCACCATCTTTCCTTTGGGGAGTTCTCGTGTACAGTGTTTTTTTGGCGACATTTTCCTCTTCTTAGCTGCTGTCTCCTCTGAGATCGCTTAGATTTCTCAGGGAGGGTATCTGGCTGCTCAGGGTCATGCTGGTTGCACTCATGTTCTTTGTTGCTTGGACTCCTCTAGTCACACACCAAAAACATTCCCTCTTCTGCCCATTCCCACTCCTCCATAAAGAGGGGTTCTTTTAAAGCCTTCTCTGGTGGGAACACCTTGCCACTGAAGTCTCTGGGCCCACAGGCCTTCCCCTGGCACAGTGGCCTATCACACCTGCCACCTCTTCCCACTTTGTGCCAGAACTCTGCTCTTCTTCTCCCACCTCACTCTTCTTCTCAGGCCTTGGAATTATTAGGATTCTAGGATTAAAATGGAAAATAATGTATCAATTTTTACTCTAAGTGTGTTTTTCTTTTTTCTTTCTTTCTTACTTTCTTTCTTTTTTTTTTTTTTTTTTTCTGTGCTGGGGATTGAACTGAGGGCCTTATGCATGGGAGGCAAGTACTCTACCAACTGAGCTAGATCCCCAGCCCCCTAAGTGGGTTTTTCCATGTATATTTTCCTTCAATAAAAAGTACCAGAAAAGGGAACCACTAGTTCTCTAGATGCTAGAGCTCTATCATCTTTCCACACCTTTGTCTTCTCACTGGAAGCCTCACAGCCAGCAGCTTCTCAGGGCTGCTTCACTCCAGACACTTTTTATCATAAGGATTCCTTACTCAGGAGCTCACTGAACTCACCTCTTTTCATCCTTCCATTTCTTCCAGTGGTCAGAAGGGAAGGGATGATTCTTCCCACTTTAAAGGTGAGACATGTGGAGTCAGAATCCAGACCTTCTGAGAAAGTCTAATAGCCTTTCTCGTAGTTGTTGCTATCCTTTCCTCCCAGTGAAACTTTTTGATAATCCTACCTTCCAAACCTGCTCAAGAATTAGAATCTTCAGGAGACATATTTGCCCTGAGGTAGATATTTGACAATGTTAAGAGACATTTTTAGTTGTCACAAGTGTGTATGAAGGGGGAAGAACATAGTACTGTGGGTATTGTTACTTTCCTGGGCAGAGGCCAGGAATGCTGTTAAACATCCTGCGATCTCAGGTCAGTGTTTTCCTACTCTCGCCTCTGCAAAAAATTATGCAGCTAAAATGTCAGTAGCACTAAGGCCAAGAACCCTGCTTTAGGCTATAAAGTCTTAGAATGTCACTGTGCCTAGATCTCTGCCTTCAGGCATGTGGTCTGCCCCTCAAACACTACTCCCTGGAGAAAATTTTCCAATGAAAAGATCCCTTGGTCTCCTAGAATCACATTACTGGGAACTGTTCCTCCTATTTCTAGCTAAATTGTGTTTCATCTATTTAGCCATATTTTTAAAAAATAGAGAGCTGAGGAGCCTAAAGACTGTAGGCTTTCATTTTTTGATCGATCAAGTTACTCCTGTTTGAGCTGGGTGCAGTGACATCCCTGCAACTTGGGAGACTGAGGCAAGAGGATCACAAGTTCAAGGCCAGTCTGGGCAATTTAGAGCCTCTCAAAATTAAAAAGGGTTGGGAATGTAGCCTTGTGGTAAAGCACCCTTGGGTTCAATCCCCAGTGCCATTTAAAATAAAAAAGCTGGGGCTGGGGATGTGGCTCAAGTGGTCGCACATGCCAGGCACTGGGTTTGATCGTCAGCACCACATAAAAATAAAATAAAGATATTGTGTCTACCTAAAACTAAAAAATAAATATTAAAAAAAATAAAAATAAAAAAGCTACCATCCTGTTTGAGCAGAGACCCAGTTCTCTGGCTGCTGGCAACATCTCTCACCCTCTCTCACTGGCCACTTTTCTGTGTGTTTGTATGTGTTTGTCTCTCTCCATCCTCCAGGTCCCCAGGTCCTGACCTGGCCTTCCTGACTTCCTGTCCTGACAAGAACAAAGTCCATTTCAACCCAACCGGCTCAGCCTTCTGCCCTGTCAGCTTGATGAAGCCACTCTTCCCTGGCATGGGCTTCATCTTCCGTAACTGCCCCTCAAGCCCGGGGTCTCCCCTTCCCCCTGCCAGCCCCAGGGCACCGTCTCGGAAGGATCCAGAGGCCTCCAAGGCCTCCCCACTGCCATTCGAGCCATGGCAGCGCACCCCACCATCAGAAGAGTCTGTGCTTTTCCAGAGCTCCCTGGTGGTTTGAGGGGACCCCCCTCAACTTTACTATGGAGACCAGTGCCTTGGTGGCAGGCCCCTCTCTAGCTCCCCAAGCATGGGGATGGAGGAGCCCTTCCCTCTCGGCCTTTGAGCACTTTCACTTATTGTGTCAAAGCCCCAGGTCCTCTTTCTGATGGACACCAGCCCCTCCAAATGTGAGGGGACTTGCCTTCTCCTTTAGCAGCTGGGCAGCTGACAACTCACACCTGTGTACCTGCTGCTTCCCTCACTCAGTGGAAACTCACCCAAGAAGGTCTTGAGTCTCCCACCCCAGGATGCAAGTCCAAATGACTTATAGGAGGCTCCTGTTGTGGTGGAGTAAGCTGGCTGTGATTGAAGGAGAGGGGAAGGCCAGACTCCCTTCCCTCTCCACCTCCAGAAACACGGAAGAGAAGTCCAGAAGCCAGACACCCCAGCTCCGTGCCTCCCTCTTTTTGGAGGAGCTGACCAAAGCGGCCCTAGAGGGCCACAACACTTGACCAATTCAGCTGCTGGCAGAGGGAGGAACCAAGTGTTTCCCAAGTGGCATTTTCATCTCACTTTCACCCTGACTAAAGATTGTCTTAAGCAGCAGCCCAGCCCCAGGTGGGTGGCGGGGGAGAGGGAGGGCTGGCATTGCTCCAGGTGGCAAGTGGTGACTCTACACCCTCCACCTGCCCCAGGGCTGGGCTGGATTAGAAAAATGCCTATTTTTCTTGTATCAATGTAGAAACTCTATTTTCTCCCAAAGACACTATTTTTGCAGCTGTTTGAAGTTTGTATATTTTCCGTACTGCAGAGCTTACACAAAATTGAAGAAGAATGTTAATGTTCCAAGTTTTCTTATCTTGTGTTTAGAGATTTTTTTTTTTCAGATCTTGGTGTTAATAGACCAAATAAATCAATAAGTATTCCGGGCAGCTTGAAGTTCTGTTTAAATACCTGGGGTAGGAGGAGTGGGGCCGAGATACAGGGTACCATATTCATCACTTGCAAGGAGCCCTTACTTAATACATAACTAGTGGGCTTGGGTGCTGTATGAACTCTTCCCAAGAATAACAACAACAACAAAAAAAAAAACAGGTCCAAGAAAAATCTTTCCAGAATGGTGTGTCCTGGAGGTGGGGTGCAGGAATCATTAGGGAAATTACCTGTTTCTCTATGAGTCTAAGCAGAATGGATTTCATAGAGGAAAGAAGGTGACCAAGGAAAGACAGTATGCCCTTGCACTGGCAAGGGGGACAAGACCAGGGAAGACTACTCAGGTGGACTCGCATGGCACAGTAAAGAAGGCTTTGCTCCCATTGGGTATTCTCAGTGAGTACCCCCCCAGCACAGTGTGCAACCTTAGAGAATACAAAGAAACCGTCCTTGCCCTTTTGCAGTCTCTCGGTCCAGTGCTGCACCTGTTAGAGTTCTGAGGCTTTTGGTGAAAATTTGAATAATCACCAAACATTCTGACAGTGCTTTGGAATTCACAAAGCATTCTCACAAAGGACATCCCCACTGCATAGATGAAAAGTTGACAACCGGAAGAAGAGTCACAATAATGATATAAATAACTCTACCTATCTCAGGCCATTGTAACTACCATTCATGGACTTGGTAAAGCAGCAGATACCGTGTTAGGTGCTTCATACCGTGTTAGGTGAAATGCCATCAAAATATGACAACCACCCAAAGAGAGAAATGTCATAAGTCCCATTGTACTGATGTGGGAAGGTCAAAAAGATTGAATAACTTTTCCCAAAAGACACATAGTGGGGGAGCTAGGATTGGAAACCTGATCATTTGAATACATTGTCCATGCTTCTAATGACAGTGCTCTCCTGCTTGTTATTATATTCCCATTAATTTTACATTAGGAAACTTGACTCAGAGGTCAGGTGAATTGTTTGAGGTCCCAGCTGGCAAAGAAGCAGAGCTGGAACTAGAACTCAAGTCTGGTCCCAGCTCCTGTTTGGTTCCCAGGAAGTGCCACCTGATTCAGTGGAGTAAGCTAAGAAGCAAGAGAGCTGTCTCCCACCCATAAAAAGAGCTGGGGACAGAGCCTGTATTCTATCTACTACTCCTCCCGCTCCATGAAAGATATCTGGCTTGCCCCCAAAGCCTTAGTGAGTCAGGCCCCAGGCGATGGGTGTGGTGCTGCCCAGCGTTTCCTTCCTTTGCCTGAGGTGGTGCCAAAGGAATAAGCTGCTAGAGAGAAGCTCAGAGTCCAAGGGGCCACCTGAGAATTGGGCCAGTTATTAAGTGGAGGGTTGGGGGTGGCAGTGGAAAGACCTAGTGTCAGTCTTA